CTCAGCCTCCCAGAGTGGTAAGATTACCAGAGTGCTGCCTTTTTCCAATTTTGAAATCTTCTGTGTTTCTTTAATGCAGATGTATTGACTTTCTAGGCTCTTAGGTTTCAGTTTCCTCTATGCCACCCCTCTCCCAGTCTGCTTTCCATCTTACAAAAATGGGTTGATATCTGTGGTCTGCTTTTGTCTTTTCCCCATTCTTTGTTTTTGTTTTATATCTTTTTTATTTCTTTACTGTTATTTCAATAGAATTTTTGAAAAGTTGCAGAGGTAAATGTGTAAAATCAGTTCTTAATATTTAACCGCTTACTGATAATTTGCTGCTTATTCTTTTCAATTTTTTTCAAGTAAAAAAGAAATCCAGGTACCCTACCCTTTCAATGAATTTTTTTGACATTTAAGAATTCAATTAATTTACCCAATATGTTAAAATTACATTGCGCTTATTAAATTTCAGGGTCTTAAAGGTCAGGTACTGGCTGTGTGCATGTGCCTATTTAAAAGTCTCTACTGTGTGTAGGTATTCAGTAAATTTATATTCAAAGAATGAATGTTGACTAATTTATTTATTCTTTGGTTCTTAGCTTTTACATGTTAATTTGGTTGATTATTTTAGCATTTGGGATTGCTCAACAAATGAGTGACCCTATATTAGTTCTTTTTGAAATTGGAGATATTATGGTATGTAGTGTGTCATCATTTTCAAAAGTTGATTGATTACTGCATATTTTTGTGCATTGTACTGTTATGCAGGTTGTTATTATATTAGCCTAGTCACTTTCAGATGATATCAGCCTCTTGTGCCACAGTCTCTTTTATGTAGATTACTGTTACTGTGGACTCAGGCCGACCATCCAGTTGACGTCATCACATCATGGTGTGATCATGGATGTATTTTATATCTTTGCTCTTCAATAAATACAGAGGCCACTAGACACAGATGCCTGTTGAGCACTTGAAATGGAGCTCGTTTGACTGGGAAACCGAATTTAAAATATCATTCAATTTTAATAAATTTATGCTGAACCTAAATAGCAACATGTGACTGGTTTCTATGTTGGATAGCTTGGTTACAAAACATTTTTCTGATAATGCACTAAATTTTGTTTTTTGTGCCCCACCCCCATGCTGGGGATCAAACCCAGGGCTTTGTGCATGTTTGGCAATGTGCCAGGTATTTGATTAAATTGTTTTATGTTGTTATTCATCTGAATTGGTTTGGAATAAAGTATCCAACTGAAAAATAAAAGATGAATTATCCTAGGTTTATTCTTATAACTACATTTTCTTTGGATTTATATAAAAATAAGAATGTGTAGATTGCTATTTCAGAATTGAAAATAAAATGTGTTTTAAGTTGGTGTATCATGCCTGTTACTTGAAGTTTTTTTATGTGGTGTTAAAAATTGAAATGAAAGTGAAAGGTGAAGCTACTATTTTGGAACTTCTCAGATTTTCTTCTGTTCTACAGTACTGTTTCAGTCAAACCTTGCTTTTGTTTTGAAATTTTTATATTATTAAAGACAGTCATTGTAATGTATTTGCATTTTTAATGTTTGCATGGAAATACTGGGTTTTTTTTTTTGGTACTGGGGATCGAACTCGGGTCCTTGCACTTGTGAGGCAGGCCTGTGGCAGAACCACTGAGCTAAATCCCCAGCCCTGGAAATACTGTTTTTGTGACATCAAACTTTTTTGTGAGCTCAGAGTAATTTAGAAAATTTTTTTGAATCAGTGATGAATAATTGTACTAAATATAAAACTATATAAAACTATAAAATATAAAATTAATCACTGGCTAATCCAAATTTTGCCATCATTTGAAGTCTGTGATAAATTAAATGTTAAATCGGTCATAATTCAGTTTTTTAAAATAAAGAAGTGAAAAAATCCTGGGATCTAGAAGCATGAATTTGATCACAGAACATTATGGTCTGCTTAACATTTTGTTAGAGAAATACAACCTTATGGAATATTTGTAAGTAGAGTTAACCCAATGGATGTAAGTCAGCAAAATTTACTATAATTTTCTGTCACATAGTATTATATTGTTAACCAGCAACTGAATGTTATCCAGACCTTTGAGAAGATGTAGTAGACATTTTTTCATACTCTTTTACTCTGCTGAAGGCCTCAGTCCTTCTGAGTCTCTCATTCTTCGCAGATGACTTTTTTCCTCATTTCCTTTTTCTCATTCATTTTCTTGACCTTATCAATGTGTAGTCACCACTGATCCCTGTCATTACAGTGAAAGAAGTGTCCTGTCTGCTTACAAAACTTATCCCTCCACTTGTGCTCTTATTCTGTTCCCTTTTGTCTTCTCATGGATCTTGTATATCAGTTATCACACCTGTTTCTTGTAATTTCGGCATATCTCCATCCATCCAGGTTTTTTTTTTTTTGGTGCCAGGTATTGAACTCAGGACCTTGGGCTTGCAAGGCAGGTGGCAGCACCACTGAGCTAAATCCTGGCCCTACCCAGGGTTTTGTTTTGTGCAGGGTTCATACCCAGGCCCTTCCATGTGCTAGGCAGGTACTCTTTCCCCTGAGCCACACCCATGCCCCCCAGCCACAGTCTTCATCTTCACTGTTGATGCACAGGTAGAGGAGGGCTTTGACTTCTGCCCCCTTCTTTTCTTCTGATCCACCCCATTGAAAGCTGTTTATAATCTGATTCTTTACATCCTAGGCAGCCTACCACGTGATTTTAATACATGGTGAGGGAACTGCCGTCCTAGCCTATAATGCTGGGTGCATGAGAAAGAAGCTCACTTGTTGCCTATAGACTGGAATCACAAGCTGTAGCATTTAGTTACTTTAGTTAGTTTACACTTAGGTGCAGAAGAATCAACTTTTGGTTGGGTGAAGTAGTGTTTAACCTAGAAACAGAAAGTTAGGATTAGGTTTGGCTATGACAGAAACCCAAAATAGTAGTGATGTAAAGAGATAGGAGTATTTCTTTTGTAAACACAGGTAATCCAGCTGGGGATTTAGCTCAGTGGTGCTGCCACCTGCCTTGCAAGCGCAAGGTCCCGAGTTTGATCCCTGGTACCAAAAAAAAAGTTGGTATTTGTAAACACAGGTAATCCAGGTTTGGTGACCCTGATTTTTAAGAACCTAAGCTCTTTTGCTCTTGTTGCTTCATCATGTACAACACTTGGCTTCTGTGTCACAGTTCATTTTGGCTGCTTTAGCTCTAGCCATTTTTTTCACATTCCAGCCAGCAGGACCTTTTAAAGGTCACATTGGCCAGACTTGAGACATTGACCAAACCCAGTTGCAAAGAAGACTGGACAATAAACATTTTAAATTTCATGCAGCCATGCGTATAGATATAAATCATAAGTTCTACTACTGTAGGGGAACGGAAGAGCATAAATGGGGGTATGGAGATTACTAACAGCTTCTGTCAAACTAAATTCTTGGCAGCTTTGGTTGAACCACTATGAAATGTTTATTGTAATCATTGCACTATCTTAGATTAGTTCTGGAAGAATGAGGGAGACAGTGGGGAAGGTGATAAAAATAAAAAAATTAGAATATACTCCTTGGCTTTCTAAGAGATTTCACTCACTTGAGATCAGACATGCATACGTCAGTTGCAGAGCAATATAACAATCTGAGGGTTTAGTAGAGAACAATGAGACTTGAGGGATTTATTTTTAGAGGGAACCGTTCCTAGAAGACTGGAATTTTGGGAATATAGGTTTAAAGAAGAAAACTGATGTGCTTTTGGGTAAATGGGTTCTTTGTGCAAAGTACCGTATTAATCATTGTTGAATACTCTTGCTACATAGTCTTAAGACTGATTTCCAATCCAGAACTTAGGAAGGAATTGTAATGAACAATTCTTATGAGAAATCTCTGTTGGGCTGGAGTAGGATGTTCTATTCATAATTTAATATATAATGAGCGTTAGATGTGTTTATTAATTTATCTCAACTTACATTTGACCATTTCTAATAGTTCTTCTAATTTCAAAATAGATAAAATGTTTTCCAACTTGTAGTAATTAGAACAATTGCAATTTATGATCTCCCAATTAAATGAACAATTTTATAGAAAGAACATGAATAAATTTTGTGAGCGGAGAAAAAGAAGCCAAAAAGTCACAAAAGAGAGAACAACTAAACTTTGAGTATTATAAAAAATAGTAGATTTGGTAGAGGTTCATTAGTGTCCTAAAACATTTAAAAATGAATTAGCATGAGATTGCAATGCAGTTTTGTATTTTTTCATTTAATATAATATATCTTTTCTTTGTCATAAAAATTCTTTAAAAACACGAGCTTTTAAAATGATTGTATAATATTTTGTGGTTTGTATTTGTTATAATGATTTACCTATACCCTATTGTTAGAATTTAAGTTCTTTGTAAAATTTTTGTTCCTATAAGCCAAGTGAAAATAAACAATTTAAGTCTTAAAAAATGAATTAATGAGCGTAGGAGTTACTAGGAGTTTTAGTATTATTGGAGAGAATATTGAAGTAGCTGAAGTAGCATTTTGAGTTTTCCTGAAAGGCAGACAGATGAGCCTGCAGAGAGTAGTGGAATTTAACAGTTAATACCTTATAAAAACCAGGCTTTAGTTATCTATCGAAGAAAATTAAAGCAATGTATAATACTGCTTACTTATACAAACTAATATAGCAAAATAAGTGTATAACTTAAAACTTTCCTTAAGTATATGTAAATCCTTTGAGTTTCCTATTTACTAGTGTCTAAGTCATTTTTTTTTTCTTGGTACCAGGGATTGAACTCAGGACCTTGCAGTTGCGAGCCAGGTGATGGAACCACTGAGCATTTTTAAATCCCTGGCCCAGTCATACTGTTTTTTTCATAGTGAAACATTTTATTTTTGTTTATTTATTAAAAATTTGTTCATTTTTTCCTAATAGAATGTTACTGTATGAGCTATTAAGTTTAGGAAAGAAAGAAAAAATTCAGTCAAATATGCATATGCTTACATTGGACTTATTTTATGTATCTTTATTTACAGGCCTTTTTGCAGATGTGTAATCTGCCCATCAAAGTGGTTTGTAGGGCAAATGCAGAACATATGTCTCCATCTGGTAAGTATGTTCCAGAGTGATAACATTATAGTGATCTCCTAGTTTGTATCTAGGTGTTAAAAATGCTTGAGTTTTTTGTTTACTGTTTGAAAATTTTCATTTATTTTAGTACATGTTTATGTTACAGAATAATGTTTGTTCTTGGAAACTGATACATGTAACATTATTTTGCTTATTTTCAATCTCTTTAAGCCCCTCTTTTTTCTTCCCCCCGAATCCCTTCGTTATCTCCAAGCATATCTTCTAATTTCTTGTCATTTCTCCTTTATTTTATTAATTCATGTGTAATTCAGGTTTCTCATATAAGAGAAAGCATGCAATATTTAAGTGAGTGTGGCTTATTTCACTTAGAATAATGGTTTCAAGTTTCACCCATTTTCCTGCAAATGAAATGATTCCATTCTTCTTCACAGCTGAATAATATTCCATTGTATATATTCCCATTTGGCTGGGTATGTTTGCTCATTTAACTCTGGTAGGAAATCGTTACTGGGGAATTATTTTAAATAGTAAATATTAAGGAAATCTATGGTGCCAGATTTCCCCAGTTTTACTTACATAGGACTTTACTCTTCCAAAAACAAATTTTAATATTAGTTGTTTTAAATATGATTCAAATAATTTTCTGTATAAAAATGTAGTGCTACATAGCTGATGAATAAATGTTAAATAGAACTGGCCTAGAATACTTAAATGATGGCTTTTCTGGAGCAGTAATATCATACAGAAACACTCCTTCAAGAGTAAACCATCAAGTAAACCATCAAACTGGTTATTGTGTGTCTTACTGCCCTTTTTTTTTTTTGGTACTGGGGATCAAACTTGGGACCTTGCGCTTGTGATGCAGGCGGTGGAACCACTGAGCTAAATCCCCGGCCTCTCTTACTGGCTTTTAAGGAGATGTTTAACAACTTCTTTATTGTGATGTGATAATTTAGGAATGACTTGTGTGAAGCACTTTTTTTCAGCCTTTAAATTCTTAAAGGTGATAATTGTCAAAAGGTATGAAAACACCTTGTACACACTGAAGGTTCTGTATGATTACATATACATTTATGAGGCTTATGATATATATTTAGAAAACTTTTTTTGTTTTGTTTTGTTCTTTGAGACAGGGTCTCGCTGTATGGTTCAGGCTGGCCTTGAACTCACTGTATAGTCTAGGCTGGCCTAAAACTCAAAGAGATCCTCCTGCCTCAGCCTTCTGATTTCTGGGATTACAGGCACGCACCACCACACCAAGCTAGAAAACATTTTCATAAAATTATTTTCTAGACTTTTAGATGTAAATATATGTTAAATTCTTGGAGGCCATTAACTCACTTATGGTTATTTTTATATGTAGGTTTTATAAACTTTATTGAATTCTGGTGAAATACGTTGTTTTCAGTCTATTTCTTTCTTCTGTATAGTCATACAAAAAGAATTTATATATACATACGAAAAGCTTAGTAGGGCCGGAGATTTAGCTCATTGGTTCTGGCGCCTGCCTCCCAAGTGCAAGGTCCCGAGTTTGATGCCCGGTACCCAAAAAAAAAAGTAATCTAATACTAAAGTTAATATCTTTGGCAAATAAGAAATCATATATTTCATCTACCTGTTTAAGTTTCTATACTGAGTGTCATTTAGGTAGGTATCTACTTTTTTATATTCTCTGCGATAAACACAAATATTAGTGAAACATGGAACACATTTGTACATTCATGTAGAGTACATTTTATTCATAAGAGGAGTCTCAGTAGAAAATGGCATTTTCTCAACTTATTTACATTTCATCATATCTCAAGTTAATATCCTCTTTTATCATTTGATTTAGTATGATAAGTGACCTTTTTTTAATTGCTTGCTTGATCTTGTGACAAACTTTTTATCTTTTTTTTTTTGGTACGAGGGACTAAACTCAGGCTCTTGAGCTTGTGAGGCAGGCACTGGAACCAGTGAGCTAAATCCCCGGCCCAAATTTTTTAAAACAAAGAATATAGAACAGTCAGAAGACTGCTTGGCTATTAGTTAAGGAATCTTTATTTCTGTGACTTTGTCACATCTATTTCCTTGAGAAGTTTTTCCTTGTCTTCCTTGAGCCTTGGTTACTATAATGTGAAGTGGTCAGATTAGATGACATCCGAAGTCCTTTCTGACATTCTGCAAATTTGCATGGCAACAAGTTCTCACTTTCTTTACAAATGAGAGTTTTAAAACTGAGCGTCCTGCCTAAAATGAGAAATGAAGCTAGCAGTATTCTCTTATGACCTTTGGTTGGTGCCTGAGAATAACTGTCTCACTGTGTTTTTACTTAATATGTGCAGTAATAAGGATGTAACACCGGCTCCATTTTAAGTCTAGCTAGTGACAGAAGCATTGTTCAGTCTAATATGTCGCCTTGATGTTTTTGTGTCTCTTTGTCATTAGAGATGTGTAAAGTGATGATTGAGTATCCACACCGATTCCCTGTTTCAGAATCTATGATTAATATATCTTATCTTATTTATTTATTTATTTAGGTACCGGGGATCAAACTCAGGACCTTGCACTTGTGAGGCTGGCGCCTGACCACTGAGCTAAATCCCTGGCCCCTGATTAATATATTTTAAAGAAATAAAAGGTTTTCCCCAGGAACCTAAAACTAGTTATTAAAAAGGAGAACTAGGGCCGGGGTTTTAGCCTAGTGGTTCCGCCGCCTGCTGCGCAAGCGCAAGGTCCTGAGTTGTATCCCCGGTACCAAAAAAAAAAAGGAGAACTATACTTTACTCTAAAAATGTCACACCCCAAAATACCTTTTAGTCTAGGCACTAAAGTTTTTTTTTTTTTTTTGGTACCGGGGATCGAACTCGGGTCCTTGAGCTTGCTAGGCAGGCGGCGAAACCACTGAGCTAAATCCCTGGTCCGGCACTAAAGTTTTTTTTGTTGTTGTGTACTTTTGTTTTTTATCTCAGATGACCTATGCTAGTTGTGGTAGTATAGTAGTGACAGATTTATTCCACTTAAGAAACAATATGGCCCAGTACTTACCCAGTTAAAAAATTCTTTTCTTTTTTTGTAAGACTTATAAAGCAGCAGAAGGAAGGAATGCACAACTGGTAACAGAGAAATGTCTTCTAAAGACGTCCGTTGAGTTGTGTTCAGAAGGCCGCCTGTCCTTTGTAATGGGTGCTGTCCTGCGGATGCAGATGAAGGTTTTGTTGGTGCTGTGCACCTCATCCATTCCCCGCGCTGACTGAGCCAGAGCAAAGTGAATCTATTGAAAGACTGCCGGAAGAAGCCCACTGTTAGTGTGAACTCTAGTTGAACTAGGTCTGACAGCAGGTTTCATACTTTAGCATTTGGAGTAGACTTTCTCGCTATTTTGAGACTATTTTCGTTTCATCTCTGATAAATTCATAAAGTATTAGTATTTTGGGCCTGGGATTTAGCTTGGTGGTTTGGCCGCCTGCTGCGCAAGCGCAAGGACCTGGTACCCGACCCCCCCCCCCCAAGTATTAGTATTTATTAAAATTAAGTAGCCATTGCTATTTTGAGAATGTTCTCTTCATCTCTAGTAAGTTCATCAAGTATTAAGTGTTTATTAAAATGAAATTTTAAAATGTGACATTTATATAAAGAAGCTAGTTTTTATAAGCATACTATTTTTTTTCCTTCATGTGTCAGGAACGTATTTTGTATTATAACTCACAAACTAACATACCTTCAAAGATTGATTATCCTTTTAATTCCTAGTATGTTGAATCAAAACTATTTATTAATGCAGTTATGAGCATTATGTTTGTAATGGATATCAAAGATTTAAAATTAGAAAAGGTAAAAAGAAGTCATCTTAGATGTAGTTTACTCTATAGATTGATTCATTGTACTGTACTTTGAAGAGAAATTCCAGTTAAATTTCTTTGAATTTTACCAGTGGTCATGAAACACTGCCCTGGCCCGGTTCATGTAACTTGTGTAGAGTGTTCTTACTGCTATGTAGTGATTTTTCGTGTTAGCTCTGAAAAGAAAACACATTGTGATATATTATACCTAAGTGAGAATTCTAGAAATTGAATCCACCTATTTTTCTTTTGTTGTAAAATTGATTAGTAATCAGTGTTTAAAAGTTTATAATGTGTTAAGTTTATAGTTTAACATACACATCTGACTATAATTTTTAGTTTTATAAAATTTCTATTAATAAAATATGCCGGAGTTTCTTATTAATTTCTACTAGCACAAACTTTAATTTACTGAAAGTATTTTCACACATTTTTTGCCCCCCTCAACAGGTAAAGTACCATTTATTCATGTGGGAAATCAAGTAGTATCAGAACTTGGTCCAATAGTTCAATTCGTTAAAGCCAAGGTAATAAAAAGCATATTGAATTTTTTAATTACAGTTGTTCTTTCATAAGCCATCTATCATTCTTTCACATGTCTTAACATTTACATTGATTGTAACCTGGTTTTCTGAAGTCCTGATACAAACTACTAGAAAATATTTAAAGTATAAGTTGGTATTTTTCTGTAAAAGAAGTAAGTTGATCTTTATAAAATGGTAATTTTCTAACTTGTACTAATGTGAAATTTTGGTCTTAAATGAAAATTTTTAGGTTCTTACAAAGTGTCTAGTTGACTTTTAAACAGAAGATATAGTTATGTTTGGAAATTGAAAGTATTTATTGATTTGAATGAGTTTAGTTTTCATTTATTTAGTCTAGATTTTAACAGATATCTGAAAGCAACCTTCATTAACACTTGAGGGAATATTCTTCCAGACTTTTCTTTTTGTATGTAGAAAAACATAGATCATGCTATTTCGTGTTATTTTGCAACTTACCTTTTAAAATCACTAATATGCTTACAAAATGTTTCATGGTAGTGTCTATAGACATGTAGATAAACAGTACATCATTCTTTTAAGTTGTTGGGTCATGTCCTATTTTATTGGATATATTGTAATTTTATTTACTCAAGTTTTTATTAATGGACATTTAGGTTATGGGCAATTTTTTTGCTATTATGAGTGCCAAAATCAGTTTTCTTGTACATACTACCCTTTTGAATCTCATTAGGTTAAATTCCTAACAGTGGTATTGGGATGTGTTGGACAGTGGTGGCAAACTTATGGCACATGGCTGCAGCAGGCTGTTTGTTATCATTGAAAGCTCTAAAAGGTTCACCATCACTGTAATGTAGGATATTCCTTTTAAAAATTTTACAGCAGATTAGTAAGACTGAACTAAAGGTTATACAATTTTATCTATCCATCCATTATGATAGTATATTAGAATTTTGAAATTAGCCTTTTCCTGTATACTTTCATTGACATTGTTTTTCAGTCTTTGACCACTATTCTGGCATTTCTTTTGCCATTAAGCTTCACCTCTTAAAAAAAGGTTAACTGATCATTCTCTTTTATGCTTTTGTTAAATAATTGAAATATAACATTTATAAAGACAAATACTATAAATATTTGACAGTGAAAGAATATTAAGTATGGTTTTATATAAACTAATTTTGTCATAGGAGGCATTTTGGAAATTAATCCATTGGTCACTTGCATATTATATTACTTTTTAGCTAGATAACTGAAAGTTTTTGTATATTTAATATGCTCTTTTAAATTTTTTTAAATTCCCTTTAGGGCCATTGTCTTAGTGATGGGTTGGATGAAGTCCAAAAAGCAGAAATGAAAGCTTACATGGAATTAGTCAACAATATGTTGTTGACAGCAGAGGTATAATATAAAGGGGTTTGAAATAAAATACAGTCTTTTATAATCTGTATCCTTTCATAAAATATAATCTTTCTTGTGGGCTATTTTAAAGTTGTTGAGAAATGAAAAAATAATCAAGTGATTCTGGGCTAGGATGGTTACCCAAATTATTTGCTCATTATCTTGGAATAAGTTACCTGATATTTTTAGTTCTACTTTTTCTGTTTGTAAGAATGGATATTGTCTACTCATTGTTTTGTTTTGGTCTTTTGAAATTTACTTAAAATAAATTATGTAAGTTTTCTGTAAAATAACTTCAATAATATTTATAGATGCATTGTGTAGATAAGAAATACAAAGTACTACCATTGAATTTAATAATTCTGTACAACAGCATTAGCTAAGAAAAAGCCCCTTGTGTATGTGACTTACAAAGTTGGCTTATAAAAAAATTATTGTGGCAAGAAAGAACTTTATCCTTTTTCTCTTTGGTATTGAAAGTTTCAGTGACTGTTCTTTTGTTCCCAGTTATATCTTCAGTGGTGTGATGAAGCTACAGTAGGGGAGGTGAGTGGTTCTGCGGCATTTATCTTAATTAAAATTTAATGAGAAAACACTCTTGCTCAGAATTGCAAGTCTCTGCTCATAAATGAAACATTGTGGTTTATACCATTAGTGATACAGTTTTTCACTTACTTTAATTTTGCTTGCACATACATTTTAGGGAAGCTATGTGTCATTGTTTGATATAGCTGGTTGTAAAGGACATAAGAGTTTATATATTTTTAAAGGGAATGGTTTAAAATTTTAATTTTTTACATTACAATCTTTATTTTCCTTTTAGATTGCTCTGTTTATATTCTCTGAAAATATATTTCTTTTAGAATTCTATTTGTAAAACTAGGCATTGTTTTTAGGAAGGATCACAGTTCTCATAAAATCTTTTTGCTTTAGATAACTCATGCTAGGTATGGCTCTCCTTACCCTTGGCCTCTGAATCATATTTTGGCCTATCAGAAACAGTGGGAAATCAAACGGAAGATGAGAGCTATTGGATGGGGAAACAAGACTCTGGACCAGGTCAGTTCAGATTGAAATTGACAAAGCCCTCAACTTTTATGCATTAAAAACGGTACTCCTTTAAAAATAATTCAATTAAAAACTAGCAAAGCATTTGCCAGCCTTTTCTTTTTTATGAAGTTTACTATGTTTTATATAAGTCACACGTACTTACTGTCAAACAAATTATATAATGTAGAACATTGCCAGATTTTTTTCTGAAATCCTACCACCTCAAAATTGCCACCCTTAATTATCTGGAGAACATTCTTCTAGATGTCTCTTAAATGGGATCATATTATGCCTGCTACTCTACAACTTGATATTTTCCCATTGAACAATACATTTTGGGCATCTTTTATATCAATAAGTATAGATTTGCAACATAAGGGTTTTTTTAAAAACCTTATTAAATACGTTACTTAGTGTATCTGTTTTTCTTTGGTCATCAAGGTCATGAGTTTGAGCATCATTAAGCTAATTAATGTGTCTTTCCCAAGGCTACACCTAATCCGAGCAGTAGTCTCACTGATGTGTGCCAAAGGGGGATTAAGTAAGTGGATAGGGATAGTGAAAATAAAATCCATCTCCCCTAGTGGGAAACAACTCAGATGGTCTGACTCATGGGGGTTTGGCAGGCATATTTTTTTATATATGTAAAATAATTTGACTGTATGAGTTCAAGAAAACTTTTTTTTTTTTTTTTTTGGTACCAGGGATTGAACTCGGTTCCTTGCGCTTGTGCAGCAGGCGGTGAAACCACTGAGCTAAATCCCCAGTCCCAGGAAAACATTTTTTAGGAAACAATTTTGAGTAGAAAAAAATCTTTCTTGATAGTAATCCTTATCAAGAACTTACATGTATTTAAAGGAAATTTACTCAAAATTTTCTTCCTGTATTTTAAATATGCATAATCTCATTTAAATAGATAATAAAAAGTTAACCAAAGTTTATATACACTAAATTGTTATACACTATGATGCAAGTTAAGTTTTAGGTGCTTTTTACTGTTTTGCCAATTGAAGTCTTTTTCTTTGGGTTCCATTCTTTATCTTAGGTCTTAGAAGACGTTGACCAGTGCTGTCAAGCTCTTTCTCAAAGACTGGGAACACAACCATATTTCTTCAATAAGCAGTAAGGCATTTTATTATTACTATTTAGTTTCTTTTCTGTATTGCTAGATTTCAAATTTTCCTTATCATAAAGGAATTGCTTTCCTGGGAAATATTTTCAGAAAGGCTTATTAATTTCTGTATTCATAAAACATTTATGTAGCACCTTTAGGATGTCAGGCATAGTGCTAGGCCCTGGGGAACTAAGATTTCTAAAATGCAACCCTTGTCCTCAAGACATTTTCTCAAAGGTGGTTATGTAGATCAGTCATTATTATATAATACAATAAAAGTTCTAATAGAGATAGTTCAAGGTGCTATATATAGAACGGCAAAATCTTAAAATTCTAAACTTTTAATGTATGATAAAAATGTGAAAATGCTCTTAATGTAGCCATTGTCTCTATGGGATGATTCCTGGAAAAGTTGGTAAAACTAAACAATAAAGAATATTGGATGGACAGACACTATTTAAACCTATGTATCTTTTAAAAGTTATGAAAACATTTGTAAAGCACAAAAATTAATATAAAGGCTATAGATTAAATGTATGTATATATGTATAAATTGAGTAATTCATGTTTCATTGATAGTGGTTTTCAATTTTGAAAAAAATTGCTAATACAAAGAATGAATTTTCCTTTATTAAAAATATTACAATTTTAATATGTCAAAAGTAGCTACCTATTCTGTGATCCAGTATAAGATGGCTTAAAATAGCATGTTAATTGTAGTGGTTTGGTTAGAAAGTCTTTTACCTCACTTTTTAGTAAAATATTTTTTGATTTTTAGATTGATAATTTTGAAAAGACTTCATTTTCTATTGTTTTTATTTTGAAAAATTTTTTAAATTTTTTATTTTTTCTAGTACCGGGGATCGAATCGAGCACGGGTCCTTGCGCTTGTGCAGCAGGCAGCGAAACCACTGAGCCAAATCCTCGGCCCCTCATTTTTTGTTTTTAAACCTTCATAGGCATTCATCTTCTATAGCTGTGTCAAGTATTTTTTGATAAACATTAATTGTAGTAAAATGACTATGACAACTACTTGGAAATATTTAAACTATATTATTTTGTAACACAAGTAATGCATATTATGTATTATTGATATCAAGATAAATTTAAGACCTGCTGATCTCTGAAGCAGTAAGGTCATAGAGTAGGGAAATGCTAGTAGAAAAGCTTCAACAGTGATGTTCTGATTTCCATTGTTTGGTCCCTAGCACACAGAAATGTGGCCCAATGTTAGTATCATGTGGTTCCTTTTCTTTCTGATATATTGTTAGGAATTCAAAAGCTTAGAAGGGGTGTACTTTGTTGTGTGAAAATGTTTACTAGTTTTGTGTGCTGTCCTTAGGGAAGGCCAAGAGAGTATATAGAACTTACTTTTTTCCTCAGGTAAATTCATTATCATAAGATTAGTAACCAGAGATAATTTGGCCTGTGATTGAGAGGAAATAACAAGGTACTTTTTTCCTTCATAGGTATAATTGTACTTAGACTTACAATAAGAAATTCAAAGTTAGGACAGTCGTAAAACCAAAACCTTGCATTTGAAGAATTAATTAATAGATATTAAAATGTAGGTATTTAAGATAATTTTACCTTACTTGATTGGATAAACATTTCTCCCTATCCCATAATTATGGATTGAAGAATAGAATATATTTAATTTTTAAATTCACTCATTCATTTAATCAATATTAAAATACAAATAAACTACAAATAGGACAGTTAGGAAGAAACAATTTGTATTTTCACTTTTGTTGTGGCAAAATTTTCCTCATTCTTTATCTGTAGCAGGAGTCATTTCTTTGTAAGATGCTGTAATTTGTAAACTGCTACCCTAAGTTAATGTATAAAGATTAGACTCCAAGTTGAAGGCCTTGAATTCTACTCTTGGTTCTAAGATATACTGAACTCAGATAAGTTCCTTTAATTGCCCCACGTGTTCTCCTTTTACCCTCTAAAATTAGCATCAACTTTTGTTCTAGTTTACCTACTGGGGATGTTGACAGAGGAGTCATGAAAGAAACCAAATGGCTTTACTTAAGGAGAAAATGGAAAAAGGATAGTTGAGAGGGATTTACAGCCAAAATAGTGATTAGGAAAAGAGGATAAAGAAGCAAGGGACTTGATTAACAAATTTAAGTGACAGTGCTAAATAAAGATCAGTGATTTGTATATACAGAGAGAATAGATATGTGGATTATTTGTAGTAGGTTAAAGAGATGACAAGTTAGTAATATATTAGAAAAGAAAAAGAGGAAACATCCAGACAAAATTAATGTTTTTGAACTAGATAATACTATAAAGGATATCAGAGAGAAAGAAATATGAAATAATAATGACTAAACAAAGCAAAAAAGATGAGTGCCAGAAAAATTTAAAATGGGAAATATTAGGAAAATATTCACGTTTTACAGTACTATTTTTACTTTCGTATTTAAATGAAAGAATAGATAACCAACAGAAATGTGGAAAATGATAATGCAAGATAAAGCAACAAATTTCTCAGGCCTTAAAAAATATATTTATCATCCTGGAATATTTTTCTAATAAAAATTCTATAAAGATAAATGTGACAATATATTTGAAATATCTTAGAGCTCTGGGGAGAATTGCTGTCTATATCCAAATTGTAATCTACCAACTATTTTGTAAGTATAGGAATGGAAAGTTACATTTTCTCTTCACTTAGCATAGCAAGGTAATTAAAATGGGAGGTACATGAATATCTTGGCTTGATTAAACAATTCAGTAGAAATAGTGAATAAAGTGTAGTTTTTGGGTCCTTGTCTTTTAGATGAGCTGCAGCTATTTTAAAGTTAAGTTTATTCAGGTATAATTTACATATGGTAAAATTGACACTTTGTGAATATAATTCTGTGAACTTTAACAGTGACACAGAACTGTGTACCCATCATAAGTATACTTTTTAAAAAGAAGGAATTGGTAATATCTGTATGTCAGTTAAGATAAGGAGTTGCTAGAATTTATAAGGATTATAAGAAATGTGCTTTAAAAATTGTGTGTCCATCGATTCATTTCTGTTGTATTCTTTGTCATAGACATTCTAAAGTGATTTGACACAAAGTTGCTATCTTTGTATAAAATCAGTTCAGTTTTTGTATGCTCGCATCCATATATAACTCAGCACTTTCAGAGTGATATGGGTGTATGTTTGCATCAGTTCGTGTTTTGACCACTTCATGGGAACTTCTGAACCACCAATTTGAGCATACATTTATACCTGAATTCAGTCCCAGCCTTTGTTTACTGATAAATGCCCAGCTACACTGCTGGAAGTTGCATTGGGGGAATCTTTTTATGGTTTTTAGCCTCTGATTTGAGAAGCAAAGTGTAATTACCACAGAACAAGAACTAGGAAGTTCTAATTTAATTTAATTTAATTTAATTTAATTTAATTTAATTTTATTTTATTTTATTTTTTTGCACTGGGGATTGCACTGAGCTACAGCCCCATCCCACCCCTTTTATTTTTATTTCATTTTGAGACAGGCTTTTGCTAAGTCACTAAATTCCCAAACTGTTCTTGAACTTGTGTTCCTCCTGCCTCAGCCTCCCAGAGGGGGATTACAAGTGTGGCTGTCCACACCTGGCTGAGATTTGATATATTGTACCGTTTTTTTTTTTTGGTACCGGGATCAAACTCGGGTCCTTCCGCTTTCGAGGCAGCCGGCGGAACCGCTGAGCTAAATCCCCGGCCCTATATACTATACCTTTTAAGGAAGATTGTTAAAGGATGTGGAAGAGTTAGTGTTCTTATTACTTTCACAAAGTGCCTCAACTCTGCATTTATTCTTTCTACATCCTTGTTTCTTTACAGGGATCTGTTTATTTTTGATTACTCATCCGTGATGAAAGATTATGGTATTAGTGAGTCCAAGGACACTTGTGATTTTTAAAACTATCCTATTGACTACTCTCTTAAACATGGGCATAGATTGTACATCTTACTTTAATGAATACTTTATGAATGTGTCAAAAGAGGGAAGGCTTTGAAAGAATGTAAGTAATTACTACTGAAAAAATAAAATATCCTATATTCCTTAGGCAGGATGGTTTCCTTTCGATTTCGTTCATTTTTTTTCAGAAGATGCTAATTTAGATCCTTAGATTCTGGGGATACAAAGATATATGCAGTGTTATTTTTTAAAGAAGCTGGAGTGTAGTGAGAAACCGTTAAGTAAAGCAGTTATAGGGTGCAATGAGAACTGCTTCACCTTCTTACTGAATTCAGTCCAATATTGAGAAGCTACCTGGTGCCAGGCATTGTTCTAGGCATTGGCAATATAGCAGGAAAAAAGTAGACAATATCCTTTCTCTCATAGAACCTATATTCTGGTAAAGAAGATGTATAATAAATATTAGATACTACTAAATGCTACCTGGAAAATTAAAATAGGATCACAGGAGATAGTAAGTGACTGTGTGTCCACTGTAATTTGAATGGTCAGGTGAAGATTTAAAATGTGACATTTGAGTGTTACTCTGAAAAATAAGGAGCCTGTAATATGAAGTCAAGTGAAGAGTAGTCTAGCAAGAGGGCCCTAAGATTGGTTCGGAGTTTGTTACGTCCAATTGAGAAAAGCCAGGCCAGTTTTGGTTATTTGTTGAGAATGGTAGAGGACACTGAAGAGGTAGGCAGGAGTGAGATCATCAAGATCCTATATGGTTCGGGTAGGGAGTTTGGCATTTTAGTGAACTTGGAATGGAAATCCATTGGAATATTTTATGGTTGTAGTGGTATAATACAGTGACATTGAAAAAGAAGAGGCATTTTGGTTACTGTGTGGGGAATGAGCAGAGCAGAAGTCACATTAGGAGGGTGTCTAGGTGGAGATAATAGCTTAGACTAGGAGATGATAATGGAGAGGTAAATGATCACACTGAGAACAGATTTTGAAAGTAGTATCTCACCAGACTTGCTAATGGATATGGGAAGTAAGAGGACTCAGGCAACTCCATGAGATCATGTATCAGTAATCATCAAGGTCAC